GAACTGTGAATTTGCTTTATGCCTCATGGACTTCCATTTGAGAAATGTCATGCTTCTGATTATAACCATGGGTGTAGTTTCATTCATTCAAAAGTATTCTTCTTGTTGGAAACTTTATATTACAGTGGAACGAAGGTTTGTGGTGCCGATTTAATTCCGCGAAATAAAAAATTTGACTTTTTATGGTTTCATGAATTTTGGATTTCAAGAACTGGACCACTCCCATGATTTGGCCATTAGCGCTTTCGGAATGCAAATTCACGAGAAACTTGATTTCGCAATTCATTGTGCTTTGTTAAATTCGCGAAATTAAACAAGCGCTAAAAATTTATTGAAGAGCATATTTTCAAGTTTCATAGAGTTTTTGCCCCCCCCTTGCAGTTTTGCCAAATGACGTCCCTGGTTCCCAGTCCCCTCCCCCTTATCTACCACCACCCTCCATCCTATCGCCTTCCGTCTGAGATAAAAAAAAAACCTGAATATCCATTTCACAGGAGCTAATAACCATTAATTTATGTGCTTTTTAAATAAATAAAAATAGTCTGCGAACATGATCAGAGGAGCTACAATCCAAAACCGCAAAAAATGTTATCTGACAGTTGATTAGACACCCATGGACCAGAACCATAGAAGCACATATACCAAAACCGCAGGGCGAATGGCAGGGTTGCTGGATGTACTTGACAGTATTGATCTCATTTGATCCCTCCTACTTTCACCTTACAAAGCACTAGTCGCCCTCTGGCGAGAGTGTCGCCGAGTTCGAGGGCGCGTACGTACATGCATTGCTTTCCTACCAAAGCATACGAAAGTCGTGGATTGTATCTTATACAAGACTTAAAAGTACAGGAAAGGCAACGCAAGGAAAAATGCTTCAATGTAAAATTCACAACCACGTAACTTGGGATTCAAGCGACATGGAGAGCAACGACTTCGGTTGTAAATCAGGAGCGACCGAGGACCTCACACGCCAATCAAGTATTTTAACGAGGTCTCAAAAATGCATGAGAGTTGCTGCATGGGCTTACGACTGCGTGAGGCATTCAAGATATCGTCGAATGAGGATTATTTTGTTCTTAGTCCAGTTTTTCGATTTTTTTTTGGCAAGTTAGATTCATGCATTCATGCATCAGCGAAATTATTTTCGCATTAAATTTTAAATCCGTGAATGTAATGTGAGACTCTGCAAACCCATCATATCTTTTGTTTCACAGCAGCGAGTTCCGATGAATTTCATGTGTCCCAAACTTTCAGTTTTGGACGTAGAAATAAAATATCACTTGACGATATCGTGATCAACAGAAAATGTCGAAAGCTCTGATTTTACAGGAGTTTTCTCAGCTTTCGCCTACCCGATATTTAGTATCCCTTGTGAGTTCCAAATTCAGCAACAGTGGTGATTAGACAGACACTCGGGCATGAAGATCTTCTGCGATTATGGACTACATTTTCTGTAGTTTTGGTATAGATATTTACTGCGGTTTTGGATCTTTGCGAAATACTTAACGTGCCTAATTTCCTTCGAAGGCCCCTGGAAAAGTGGGGCTCGGGGCAACAGCCCCCTTTGTCCCCCCCCCTCTATTCCGGTCCTGGGTGAATGGTATTGGAAGTGGCCACCACTTCATTTAACCACACGAAGCGGCGTCCCAATTGCTAGATGACTCTGTGCAGTGTCGCGTCGAGTTCCTGAGATTCCTTTTGACCTTCCTTTTCGGCTGCTGGCTCTCACCTCGTCCCGATGTCAAGGGACTTCCAGCTAACGCCTTTTCCCATCTTCGTAGCTCAGCGCCTGGGCCCCGGTGTAGTCACACCGCCTGCACATTCGGTAGCAACACCACTGCGAAATGGAATCTGTATGATCATAGGTGTCGAACCCACGGATGCAAAGGGGTGCAAAGGAGAATCTTCGTGGATGTGATGAGCAGAGGATCCTCATTCCCTCTCTAGGAATTTATATTCAAACAGGGAAGGAAATGAACTAGCGGCCCCAAGAAACCAGGCAAAGTGAAGTCGGCATGGAAACGACGGAGAATTCAGTGACCTATTCATGCAAACCTATAAGCTTGCTCCGAAATGTAAATCGGGATAGTACAAACTCTCCTATCGCGTTGTGTTCAATTTGCCCAAGAATTTTCCTGCGATATTGTGTCAGACACTCCTTGAGCAGTGGTACGGTGGCCATCTGCAATGGGAGCTGATAGAGAACCCATCCGCCCAGGATCGGGCTGGCGATCTAGGGGTCTCCCGGGAAATTTCTAACCAAGGGCCTCCGCACCTTTGTCAGCACCTACCTACCTCTTGTCCACTCCCCTTTCCAAGTCTTACTGCCTCCCCCTCCCTCCCCTTCCTTTTCTTGCCCTCCTCGTTCCTTTGCTTGGTATCTCAGCCCCCTGTCAATCAGGCTGTCCCTGAACATTTTCTGAATCCTGAACTGTCCCAGAATTTTCTAAATCCCCCATTAGATGTTTGAACAGGTGCTCGACTGCTCGCAGACGCTGTTTCCATTGGTTGATCGACTTATTGTTTTGTCATAGACAAGAGACCACACTTCCTCAATTCCAACCTTCAGTTCAAGTGATATAAAAGGGGCGTTGCGTCCAGCATCAACAATGGAAACAGCGTCTGTGAGCAGTTGTAGACCAGATGTACATCAAACATATCTTCAATTGAAGTCAGTCGCACCTCTTTAAACCTCTTTAATTTGGCACAATCATTTCAAATTTCCCTGACTGTTCAGAACAGCTAAATAAATATACGAGGTAAATTTTGTTATTCTGGTGAAGTAAATTCTATGGCCTTTTCAACTAGTCCTCTTTGGAGTTCCATTCCTGCTAGGCATAAGCATAATAAGCCTGATCACACCGCATGAAACCAGGCATGTTAATAAGGTCGATCATTGTCTATGAATTATTTTGTCTCAAAGAAAAAAAGAGCAACAAATATAGAGAAGTGAGGAGCGGAAGAGCTTATGGGGTGATGGGAAGTTCTTCCAAACGAAAGCAGTGACTATTCCACTCATTTCAATTGTATTTTTCCATTTCCCATGTGTCACTATGGGGAAATACACGGGGTAAGTGTGATCAGCATACAGAATTACGGACAGAAACGTACATGTGGTTTTGCGTCCAATTCTGATAATTGCTAATTCCACATATACCACTAAGCCTCACTACTATTTGTTTGATGGTCACACTTTCTCTTTCCAAGATCACGCCTACCCCTAAAACGGGGTTAGTGTGATCATTTAAAAATTTTCTGTTAAAGTTAAGTGAATACGTTTACAATAATTAAATACGTTGTCTACAGGTTTAAAATACTCATGACTGCTTTGGCTGAATTGCAATACCCTAGCATTTTTGGCCTTGTGATCACACTTACGCCGTCTTCGGGGTAAGTGTGACCATCTCTACCTTTTCAAAGCAAATGCGGTGTACGCCTACAGTCTTTTAAGAGAGTGGATGAAAATACCATGATTTGAAGCCAACAATCTAAAGTTGACGAGCACAAAAGTACTTCATCATATCTGCCATGGATACATTTTGCCTTTCGTTCAAAAATGAAACTTCGATTTTTTTAATCACATATACCCCGAATGACTTTAATGTAGAATATCAGCATTTCCACGGGTTTATTAAAATATCATATTACATTTACCCACTTCCTTCATTTCCTTTGTGTGATTGAGTTCTTTTAAGATGTCTCTGGTGACAAGTAGCGTGCCCAGAAAATCTGAATAGGGGGGGTGACATGAAAAATTGATAATTCTACTCATCCACGAGAGGGTTTTTTAGCGTAACCTCCTCGATTTTCCCCCAGCTCCCTCCAAGTACGGGGGCAGCCTGGGCCAGATTGACTAGCGGAAGAAGAGCGGAGAAGGCAGAAGAAGGTGATAGAGAAGGAAAAAAATTAACTTTTTGATCCTCAACTGCTAACCTTTTCTTATTACGCAACTAGTATAGTGGGCTCAAATTGACCCCAGCAATAATAATAATTCAATAAAATAAAAAAATGACAAGTTTAGCTATCGTCGCAATTTCAAAGCTGACTTCACTGCAGTTAGGTTAGTTACGAAACTGCCACGATAGCAGTCCTAATGCCGTATGAGAGTACAGAAAACACACATTGATCACAAGCACCATTTCTTGGTAATCGACTCACAACCCCACAATACCAGTTGAGGGTTAATACTCCTCTGACACAGAAGATTGCTCCAAGAACTGGGAATATGGAAATGAATGCCATCGTGAACCTTTGCATATTAAGCTGCAGTGGTGTTGCCTGTAGTGGATTAGGTAGGTATTGCAAAGATTAATGGTTGCCCTTTATGGCAAATATTTGGAAAGTGCTGGAACTCATTATCCATGTGTTATTCGCCACACATGTGCAATTGCACCATCTTATATGTTGTAGTTTAGGTGCTATGGCACTCTGAATTGGGATACAGTAGAGTCTCGATAATCCGAGCTAAACGGGATCTCGGATAATCTCGAATCACCTCGAAGAATCGAAGTCTCCGAACAACATCGTATGCTCAAATTACGTTCATATTACGTACATCACGCTTTAAATAATTTGTTACAAATGCGGAAAAATCGTCTCGGATGGTATGGTGGATAATCGAGGCTCAGATGATAGAGACCCAGATAATCGAGACTCCACTGTTCTTTCTTTCTGATCATTCTGCACATATGGTGAATACAGTATACAGTGAGGTCCTAATAAGAATCACTTCCTAGGAATCTCACAATCTGCTACCAATGCCTCATATCATGTTATGTTTATGGCAGTTCAAGACAGTATTCAGGTAATCCATTCCCTGAATGTTTTCTTCACGAGCGATTCGGACTGCATCAATTTCTTCCTTCGAAATTCAATTTAAGATCGAAAGCACTTTAATCCCTCAATCTTCACAACCCTATCTTCTAATGAGTTTCGACCAATGTTGTTCTTGTCAAGTGAATGTCAAATAATCTGTCATTGGATAAAATGTGTCAAATTCTAGTAGGGGTCTAATCGCATTGATGCGTATCAATACCGTAATTGTTCAGGTTTTGTGAATAGAATGATATCGACATCCTAGGGATCCATGGAAGAGTTATATGCTTTATCTGTTGCCATATTCCATAAGGAATTCCTCTTACAGGTGTAAGAGGGTCTATGAAAATAGCGATTCGAAAGTTTTCACTTGATATAGATATTCACAATGCAGCGATACAACCGGGAAAAAGGAGTGGGTAGG